TTAAATCATGGTCAAAATATTTGAATAAATACTTCACCAAAGAAAATATACCAATGGCAAATAAATGCATGAAAAAACGCTCAACATCATTTGTCATTAGAGAAATACAAATTAAAACCCCAATCAGATATACTACACACTTAGTACAGTAGCTAAAATTAAAAAGACTGACCCTATCAAGTGTTGTTAAGAAAGTCAAGCAAGCAGAACTCTCAGACACTCTTGGTGAGAACGTAAAATGGTAAAACCACTTTGGAAAACAGTTTGAGTGTTTTGTAAAATGGCAGATATATATCTACCATACTTTCTACTCCTGGGTATTTATCCAAGAGAAATGAAAGCATATGTACATTCAAAGATATTTATATGAATGTTTATAGATGATTTGTTTGTTATAATTAAATACTGAGAACAGCCCAAATGTCTATTAATAGATGAGTGGAGAAAAAAACTGGTATATTTCTGTTGTAAAATACTACTCAGAAATGAAAAGGAATGAACTATTAGTGCATGCTACCACAGGGATAAATCCCAAAATAATTATGCTGAGTGAAAGAAGTCAGATAAAAGGGTACATAATGATAATTCTACTTATATAAAATACTAGAAAATGTAATCCATAATGACAGAAAGCAGATCAGTGACTATTTGGAATGGGGGTGCAGAGAGAGATGCAAGAGGGAGAGATTACCAAGGGGCATGAAGAAACATTTGAGGTGATGAAAATGTTCGTTACCTTAACTGTGGTGATGGTTTTGTGGATGTACACATGTCAACATTTATCAAATTATACACTTTAAATACTTGCAATTTTTTGTATATCAGTTGTATCTCAATATTTTTAAAAACCAAATCTTATGATTTGGCTTCAAGTATCTAAAGCAAAATATAGGTCGAGGGGCTCCAAAATCACAGTACTTAAAGTATTAACTTTATTGGTTCTAAAATGCATCTTGTTTTTATGAAGTCAACTATTCTTGTTAATTTCCCAGTCAACAGGCCACAAAGTCCATAACCAAAGCTTTCTCAACACACTCAGTTCAAGTAGATCAAGTCCTTAAAAACAGGTTTCACTACCTCATTTTTCTCTTTCCTTATCTTGAGGAGGGGAAGGAAGAGGTGTATGAAAAAAATATAAATTAAGATATAAAAGAGGTTGGTGGAAATTTACGATGGAATACTAGAACATGTCTATCAATATCCAAAATATAAGATTTTTCTTTACCTTTTCTCCTTTTGTTTTCCTTCTTTCTTTACTGCCCTCTGCTTTAAAAAATTCTCTTTTTCCTTTCCCTTGTTTCCTTTCTTACCTTTGGTCTTTCCACTTTCTTTCGCTTCCCACATCTCAATTCCCCCATTTGCTGGCAGGATTGTACACTGGCTGGCCACAACATGGACTATGGGGCAGTCCGCCCAAGTTCAAATCCCTTGCTCACGGTGTTAGGCATGTTAATATCCCGCACTTTAGCTCCCCTATCTTAAATGGAGTAATATCAAATGTTCCTTCCTTATAGGTTGCTGTGAGGATTAAATATATCAATATAGGAAAAACACTTGGCATAGGTAATCACCAGGTAAGTGTTATCATTCTTAGAGCCACCATTCTACATCAGACACATTGGACTCCAATCAATTAAACATAAGTAGCCCCAACTCAAAGAAAGCAGAAGTGAGTTTCCAAGGGCTGGAACCCAGTCCTGACTTGGTCATTACAGTTCTCTGACCCTGACCCTGACCCTGTTACTTACACATCAACGCTTAAACTGTTTATTGGTAAAATGAGAAGTTTAGTGTAAAAGTTGGTTCCATTCAGCTTGTACCACTGCTTTTTGAAATCCAAAAGTATAAAAAATACTAACAAATGAAAAGCCTTTTGATAACTTTTAGGCATAAATGAGAAGTGGCATGGATTTTCATATTAAAATAAAGACCATTTTTTTATTTAGTAAGAAAGATAACATCACAATTACATGGACATCACTAAAATTTTAGTGGACCACTAAATTATCTCTTTAACGTTTTATGAGAAATTGCAGCATACAGTTTGATTCTTATCTTCCGAAATCAAACATATTCAAAGTTTGGGTCAGAACTCCCCCTTTCCAAAGCTGTACATGAAGTCTCTTGAGAAGTTAGCAGCTTGTGTACTTCATCTGTGAGTAGAGAGTGTCCCATTAGCTTGGACTTTGTGATCCAGCAGGAACAATCCTCATTTCAGGAACACTCCGCAGCTATTCTGTCTTCTCTGAGGTCAAGCAGCATGAGTGGTGAGTGAAGTAACCATTGAAAACCAGAGTCCTCATGGCTCACTGTGTGTGAAATTCCCTGGAGTAAATGTAATATTCTAGGTGCAATCCTGTCATTCAAGAAAATCACTCAGTAGGGGTATTTAATGTAGAAACTGTTTTTACTTGGCCTCATTACACATAACTTTTTTGTTTCCTTATCTACACAGTACCTTTCATATATCTGCTGTGAGTAACTAAGACTAGATTATGGAGTCAAAACAAGCTGTGTTTAAGTACCAACTCTTTCTACTTGTTAAGAAAGGCCTGTGGCAAGTTATTTATCTATTCCAAGCCTCAGTTATGTCATTACCTATATGGAAACAAGAACACCTCCCTCATTAGATTGGATTGAGGATTAAATGAACAAAATATCCTATGTATCCTCTATAGCAGGGATCCCAACCCCTGGGCCACAGACTGGTCCTGCTACTAGCAACTGGCTTGTGGCCTATTAGAAACTGGGCCTCACAGCAAGAGATGAGCGGTGGGCAAGCAAGCAAAGCTTCGTCTATATTTATAGCTGCTCCCCATTGCTCGTATTACCACCTAACTCCTCCTCCTGTCAGATCAGTGGTGGCATTAGTGGGGCGAACCCTACTGTGAACTGTGCATGCAAGGGCTGTACGTTGCAAACTCCTTATGAGAATCTATTGCCTGATGGGTTTGTCACTGTCTCCCTTCACCCAGAAGGGACCTTCTAGTTGCAGGAAAACAAGTTCAGGGCTCCCACTGGTGCTACATTACGGTGGGTTGTATAATTATTTCATTATGTATTACACTTTAATCATAGAAATAAAGTACACACTAAATGTAATCCACTTGAATCATCCCGAAGCCATCCCCCACCCCCGGGTCCGGGGGAAAATTGTCTTCCATGAAACTGGTCCCTGGTGCCAAAAAGGTTGGGGACCACTGTTCTATAGCACATCCTTCTAGGTTATCAGATTCTAGTCCTGTTCATGGTTTTTGAGCTATTTAGCAATTATCTGCAATGTTTTTAATTTTTAAAAATTATTTTTAAATTAAAAAAATTTTTTGAAAGAGTCTCACTCTGTCACCAGGCTGGAGTACAGTGGCACAATTATAGCTCACCACAGCCTTGATCTCCTGGGTTCAAGTGATCCTCCCACCTCAGCCTCCCGAGTAGCTGGATCTATAAGTGTGCACCACCATGCTCAGCTAATTTTTATAGAGATGGGATTTCACCATGTTGCCCAGGCTGGTCTTGAACTCCTAAGCTCAAGTGATCCTCTTGCTTCGACCTTCCAAACGTAATTTCTCTGATTATATGGCTTTATGAGGACTACAGATATGACAGTATGACTCTGGAAGGGGGCATACAGCAGGGAGTTAATGCTCCTTTGAAGGGTTATTTCCATGATGAGGGGAATTCCTTCTTTTAATACTCATTTGGAGAAATTGCTAAATATGTCAGAAACTCCTAATTCTCTAAAGATTGAATTAGGAGTACTGCATTTCCATTGGGTCAAGCTCATATCCAGAAACTACTACACTGATTACCCAGTCAATGGTTACCAATTTGTCAATTGAAGACATATGAGAAACAATTAAGAATTTTGTCAAAGTATAATAAAGGAACACTGATTAGGTCTTATGTCAGGTTCCAGTTATGAGTCCCAAATCCCACTGTTGCCCACCAGAATGTTTCTTGATAGTCCTCATAATTCCTAGAGGAAGTGTTTACACCACTCTGCTGGAATGAGTTGCTCCCACAAAACCTACAACATGGTTGATTCTATGTCATTTGCTGCTAGCTGGATTCACCTTTCTATACTTACATCTTCCTTTAGCTGTTTAGAGATGGTCAGAGGTATCCATAGCCTCTCTGCATATCCATGAAAGAACCTGCAAGACTCTTGCCCCATTTAGCCATGAGTTTTAACATTAGACCAGTTGTCAGAGGAAAGTGGGTGAGAACTAGCTGGACTAATTCAGTATCTTGATTGACTGTTATAGAAGATGGGGTTAGGGGGTAGCTTAATTTACCCAACTAAAATGTCTCTACATCAGGGCTTAAAATTTTGAGTGTGTGTGTGTGCACACCCATGTATTTGGGACAATAAACAGAAAATCCAAGTTTTTACTCTGATTTCCAAGATGAGGCTGATTAAGAGGTAGCAGGGAATCTTTATAACTCACTGCTAAGTACAACCTAAAAAATAATTTTATTACTGAAAATTGGAAAACGTAGGAAATAAAATACAGCTCCACAGAAATATAAGCTACTACTATTTTAGTGTATTCCCTACGAGATGCTCTTCTGTGCTTATTTTTATACTGTTGAGATCCTATGTATGTAGTATTTTTAACTTGTACTTGCACTTAAGATATTTTGTGAATTTGCCTATATGTGTAATTATTTTTAATGGCAAAATGTCATTCGATTGTAGTTATATTTTAATGTAGTTAACTGCTTTTTGTTGGACATAGTGTTATGTTTTTATGAATATTTGTGCATCAGTCATTGCAGTTTTCTCTTTACGATTATTTCTATGATGAAGGCTCTCAATAAATTTTACCAAAGGCTTGTGCCAAAATACTCTTTAAAATTTTTTTTTAAATATTTTTATATTTAGTTTACCCAACTGAAAAAATATCCTCCTGCTAACCGTGTATGAGAATGCTCCATGTCATGTCAATATTGCCAGCATTAAATGCTTCTGGAATAAAGAAAAAAGTCCTTGCTAGTTTGATGGTAGAACAGTATTTTATTGTAATTTTATTTACGTCTTTTGATTACTGGTTACATTTCTTTTTTCTCTTCTGCCAACAACTTGTTCATGTCCTTTGCTCAGTTTTCCATTTTTCATCCACATTAATGAAATTATTTTGTTTTATTAAGTCTCAATTGAAACAATACTTATGAAAGTTCATTTTATTGGATTTAAATATTTTATTTAAACAAATATTCTGAAGGCTGCAGTTTATTGATAAGAAAAATATAAAGCACAAATGTTTGTAGATTATATATTGACATAGTATATAGATTCTCCAAATAACATAATTTTGTAGTGCTACTAGTGGAATGCATTCTGTGGAAACATGCCTTTACCTTCAAATCTGAGCACAATACCCTTACATCAAAAATGAAGAAAAGGATAATAAAAGCACAACTTTGATTAGTTTAAGTTTTGGTAGACCACATCTGATTTGTTGAAGAGTAAATTCGTTTATTTATCTCTTCAAGGAAGTCATTATTTTTTGCATCTCTTTCTGTGCCTCTTTATCCTATAAAGAAAATACAAATACATAATGAAATTTCATGCATTCATCTTGAGACTCTAGTGTGCTGAAATAGACTTTTGTTTTGAAAGACCATTACTAAGAGACCAGCTGGGTGCAGTGGCTCACACCTGCAATCCCAGCATTTTGGGAGGCCAAGGCAGTGGGATTGCTCGAGCCCAACAGTTCAAAACCAGCCTGGGCAACATAGTGAGACCCTGTATCTACCAAAAAAAAAAAAAAAAAAAAAAAAAAAAAAAAAAAAAAAAAAAAAAAAAAAAGAAAGAAAAAAAAATTATCTGGGCATGGTGGCATGCATCTGGTAGTCCCAGCTACTTGGGATACTGAAGTGGGAGGATCACTTGAGCCTGGAAGGCTGAGGCTGTAGTGAGCCGTGATCGCACCACTGCACTCCAGCATGGGTGAGTAAGACCCTGTCTCAAAAAAATAAAAAAAAGAAAGAACTGGATTTTTAAAGACCAGATCCAGATCTATGATAATGTGGGCAACGAGGATAGCTATTTCTGGGTTCTTCCTTCACCAGATCTGGAGTAATGGGATTCAGGATGAAGAGAATTCCATGTAAGCTGACAATGGATCTGCCCTTGTGTCAATCTATTATGGATTTTTTCTTCAGCTGTGAGATGTGAAGAAGTACTAGACCTAGCAGCAAGTTTTGAAGAAATCTGAGATTCTGTTAGAGCTGGTCAACATATATTTCATTATGGCTTTATTGGGAAGCCTATAGTTAAGACTAAAAATCATGTACTATGTTTTATAGGACACTGTATCTATTGTTATTTCTTTACAATGAATGTGGATTCAAAAGAGTGGCAATAAATTCAGATGATGGGGTACTTTTATGCATTTTTGCATTTGACAAACATTTTCTGAGCACCTATCCAAGGATTTAAGAGATGTAACATATTTGAAATAATCAGATGAAGACAACAAGACAAGGGTAGATATTTGGAAGTAGTTGTTAGCTAAATTATTTTTGAAATTGTAAGTTTTCTAACACTTTTAATCATAAATATAAAACACTGATTCTGTTGCAGTGATCAACTGAAGTCTATCTTCTATTAAACAATATTTACTGAAGGTCGTGAGAAAATAAAATTACTGGTATCTGAGATACTAGTGTGATATTTAGAAGAACTGATTAAAAAATCAGTAATTCCAGGTATTGAGTTCTTGTTTATCAAACTGTTGGGCTATCTCAGTGCTTGGCAGATGCCATCTATTAGTAAATTGATGGTCCTAAGTAAATGTCTGCTAAATGAATGATTCGACACTGAAACATGGTGGCAAGTTTCTATATCTAGGAATTAATTTCTTACAGCAGAATTACATAGATGAGAGCATTATTTCAATTAGGTGGCTAAAGAAGTGAATATTCACAAACTGTAACAGAAGAGGGCCCTCATGTGCTCCACATCTCATTCTCTCTGGCTTCCCAAGGCCCTTAGTCTATCAATTATCTCCTTTTTCTCCAATCTTTCTTGAACCCTTCCTTCTTTGCTGGCTTTTTCTCATAATCATTTAAATGTGCTTCTATTCTTCCCATCTACAACAAACCCTCAACTCAAGCATCCCTTTAACCTTACGTCTCTCCTCCTTACCCCATGAAATTCTTTGGAAGTTTGTCTACACATACTGACTACATTTTCTTGTCTCCTGACTGCTTGGAACTCTGGTTTCCACTCTCTGCTGTTCTACCAAAACAGTCTAGTTTAAGATCACCGATGATATCCACACTGTTAAGTTCAACACTCACTCCAGTCCTTGCTTGCTTGACTTCTCCAGAGCATCTAACGGAGTTTACCATTTCCACCATCCCTTGGCTTCCGAGGTCTCACCTTCTCTGGCCACTTCTTTCAGTCTCACTTGCAGGTTTCTCTTCCTCCCCCATTCCATTATGTTGGTGTTTCTCAGGGTACTTTTGACTCCTGCTTTCCATGTACTACATAGTCTCTTTGGATGACTTCTTCCATAGCGTGGCTTCAGACATTGTTTATATGCTAAATATCCAATTACTCACTGGACTTAAAAATCTCACAAACACAAACTCAACGTTCCAAAACTGAAGCCACCTTCCCCACCAAACCTGGTTTTCCTGTATTTCCTGTGTTAATAAAGCACATCTCCATCTATTCTGGTCAGTTTCCCAAGCTCGAAACCAACATGTCATCCTTGAGTCCTCCTTCTCCCTCAATAACCAATCTCCAAGTCTTAAAGAGAATACTACCTACAATTCTGTGGAATCTGTTCTCTCCTCTTAATTCCTCACTGTCATCATCTTAGTCCATGCTACCATATCATGTCTGTGTCATTGCAGTTGTTACCTAAATGATATTCCTGCTTCCAGTTTTGCTCCCCTCCACTCCAAGCCAGTCTCCATATAGTGGCTACCGTGCTCTTTTCTAAAAATCTCATTGTATTATCTGTTGCTGAAGACCCTTCAGTGGTTTTCCTCTGCTTTAAAGAAAAAGGCATATAAGGCTCTCATCTCTTCTTCCCTTCTAGTATTCAACATTTCTGTCACATCATATATTGATTCAGTACTTTCATGTATATTTCTCTTCTAAAGGCATTTGTCTGTTTTCTAGTGTTTCATAAAGTATGGCCTACATACTATGTGTTTCAATATCATTTGGGATATTTGATACTGTAATTGGTATTTACCTATATTTCCATTCTAGCCAGAGAGATACATATTTCAACACTCACATAATAGTTATCACACATTATTTTGTGTTCTACATTTTCCAGTTACATTAAAAGTAATTTTCTGGCCAAAGTCTTTGTAAAAAAAAAAAAAAAAAAAAAAAAAAAGGAAGCTGATCAACTGATAACAGTGACAAAATACTAAGGGAAAAATGACCCAATTACTCGGCATGTTTCATTTGTTAAAAGATAAATATCAATGGATTATATTCCATTTTTACTTCATTTTTAACATTCCACTCCAACTTTTACTACATACATATTCTCTAGGACTAATCTATTAAAAGTAGAGGGGTTATTTCATTGCTTATTAAGTATGACCAAATTCTATATTCTACACCTCTAAGAAAGAATCACAATTCTATAGCTTTATGCTACATTTTTTTTTTTTTTAAGTAATACATCACTGGGCAAAAGTCTCAATTATTTGTTGAATTGTGTGCTAAAGGGTTCTTGGTAGAGTTTTTTCCCGGTATGAGTTGCATAAAATCCAGGTAAAGGCATTTTCTACGTTGACTTGAGGCCTGGGGAACCTCCCCAACATAAGAACTTTTAAGGTTCACGAAGGTATGTGCAATCGCTGAAGACTTTCCCTAATTCAGGACACTGACAGTGTTTTCTTTCTTTATTATTATTCTTAATAATTTTTTTTTTTTTTTTTTTTTTTCATTTTAACAAGTTGCTTTTGTTAGGGAGTGTTTTATACAGCATGAATCCTCACATGTCCTGGAGTGCTACTCTATGAGTAAGGGGTTTATCATGTTTATTTCATTGAATTGCTTCTCCAGCATGAATTATTATTTTTCCAAAGGTTTCTTCCTCCTTGAAAAAACTTGCCACTTTCTTTCTGGCTTTACCTAAGTTTTTTTCTGCATATCAACGCTTGAGCTTTGCCTAAAGGGTGTAGGGTTTAGCCCCATGGGAGCTCCCTGGTATCTAAAAGCAGAACCCAGACAGATGGAAACTTGAGATACCACCTATAAAGGTTAGGGCTGAGGCTGAAGGCTCTTCCAAATGCTGTACATTTATAGGGTTTCTCTCTATTGTGCATTGTCTCATTATGACTAAGTTGAGACCATTCACGGAAGGCTTTCCCATATAGATCGTATTCATGTGGTTTCTCTCCTGTGTTAATTCACTGTGTTGTTTAAAGGATAAATGGTCCCTGAAGGCATTTCCATATAGATTACAGGCAAAGAGTTTCTCTCTTGAGTTCTCTGGTGTGAGTAAGAATTAGCTCTCTAGTGAAGTGTTTACTACATTCATTATATTTATAGAGTTTCCCTCCAGTGCAAGCTAACACATGTTGAGTCAATGTTGAGCTGTGAGTGACAACTTCCTCATACTCATTATATTCAAAGGGCTCCTCTCCACTGTGACATCTCTGCTACTGAGGCCATAACAGGCTGTTAAAGCCTTGCTTACATACCTTCATTCATTCATTTATTTTTCCCCATATGAATCTGATGCCAAACATTCAGTATAGTCTCTAGTTAACATCTTCCACTTTGGTTACATTCATCTGGTGTGTTACTCTCCTTTGTGTATAGAGTTTTCTCCTTTGTAGTAGGTCAGCTGTATAGCAATCTGACTAGTTTTAAGGTTTTCATTATGTTTTAAGCACTTAATATATTGGCTATATTTATGCAATTGCACTCTTATAAGAACTCAGGCTATGATTTTGAGCTCAGGTTATTCCTTTTCTCCCAAATTTGAATCATCCACACCTTTCAGCTGAGATAGCACACTTTCTCTAGCCTCAAATTAAAGTCATGTGATTGTGCTGCATTCCTAATTTGCCCTCCCCAGGCCAATTCTACTGTGGAGGAACAGGGTTCACCCCCATGAATCTCAGTATTGACATGTTGTTAGGTGGCTCCTTCCTGTAGATATTCTACATGGAAGTTCTTTGTTTTTAAGACTTTCCTAACAGACAATTCCATCAAACAGTGGGTGAAGGATATGAACAGACACTTCTCAAAAGAAGATATTTATGCAGCCAACAAACATATGAAAAAAAGCTCATCATCACTGGTTATTAGAGAAAGGCAAATCAAAACCACAATGAGATACCATTTCATGCCACTTAGAATGGGGATCATTAAAATGTCAGGAAACAACAGATTCCAGAGAATTAGTTCAACTATTACGGAAGACAGTGTGGCGATTCCTCAAGGATCTAGAACCAGAAATGTCATTTGACCAGCAATCCCTTTACTGGGTATATACCCAAAGGATTATAAATCATTCTACTATAAAGACTCATGCACACATATTTT